TGTTCAGTTTTAAAGTGAACTTGTGCTTAAATGTACTGTACATTTTATTGCTATGCGAAATTGCTGTAATATTTAAATGTCTGTTACTTCTTCGCGAGCTTCTTAGAATTGAATATCTTATGTTTCATACGTTACTACTTGGATTAAAACAATACTCTAGAGACTGTGCTACATTTATACTTTTCTACGTTACAATATATTCAATAGTTGTTATCTGCAAAACGAAATATTCGCGAACATTCACATATAAGCATATGAATACACCGTGCTCTGCGTAGCACTAGTCAGTCCAAGCAAGCGCCGCGGCTGAGTTGAACGTTTCACTCAGTTCGCACCTGTACATAGTATACCAATTGATTGAAAATAAATGTTGCTGTTAATTTCCAATTACAAGTCTCGCGTTAATCCTTTTTCCTGTATCTGTCTTCGACGTGGTCTGGGCTTTAGCTCGCGACGGTAACAGCCCTTCCACGAACAAAGTCTTACAAAATTTAGCACGACTTAAGTATAGTAACCGCTGTAAGTAACTAACCATGTAATAGCCATTCACTTCAATTTTGCTGTAAAAGTATGAATGTTCATTTCAGTAACGTGTACTTCGACGACAACGATAGCTCAGTGCAGCGACTGTTCATTATTTCGACAGCCAATCTCGGAGGAGTATAAGAAGAAAGTCAAAGCACACTGCCTTGTAATAGTACAGAAGCTTAACATGCTTTAATGAAGTAACGGTACTGCAACTGAATTTATTACGAACTCAATTTATGCACGAATTTACGACCTTACTTTGAAAAAGTAAAACGGAATATGGTCTAAGATCTGAAACAATCGCGACTCACTAGATAATAAACCCTCATGATTTTTGAGATCCAAAATTTTTTGGTATATTTCATTCTAGAGAGGTCACGTAGTAATAGAAGTAGTGTCATGTGGTCGATTGTGCTAACTAGACGCAACCTAGCTTAACGGATAGTTCGTAAACAGTTGATTTAGAGCAAATGTCATTTCCGGCAATATTAAAATTTATTGTCTAGTCGAAAATCGACCTTCAAAAAAATGTACTCTCTCATATGAAAGCAAAACCAGCCGCAACCTTGCCAATTAATTTTTGTTTTTATATTTTGAATTGATATATCACGTACGTTTGCTACTTCTAGTGTTACACAAAAGTTGATGATCCCTTATCTGTCGCTGCCTGCACAGTAAAATTTTTCAATACAGACGGAGTGTTTATGTAGAGCTAGTGAGTCCTTGACTCCTCCTTTACCAATTGATTTTCAGGAGCAACGCTCTCTTAACGAAGAACAAGATGAAAAGTAAGTTGATTTTGTAGTATTTATAAACCAGCTATTAATTAAGGAGGTTTGGTAGTGAAACAAGGAAGTAGCATGATTGCACGACATTATAATATGAAATACTATTAACGAATCTTAGCCCACATGAATTTTTTCAAAATTGTTTACCGTTCCATTTTTGAGTATTTGATCACCAAAATATGTAAGAATAACATAGCTTCTTATGGGAGCCATCTTTTTCTTGAAAAAAAATATAGATCGGAATCGCAGATAATTATGACACTGTTTCTAGTTTGAAATAAGTATTAGATTTACTATTATCTGTAAGAAAAATTATACTTTACCGTTTCTGTATTTGGTGTATGTTATTTATTTGCACGTATTATGAAATGTATGTTTATTTTTCAAATAAATAAACGGTAAAGTATAATTTTTTTTAACAGATAATAGTAAATCTAATACTTATTTCAAACTAGAAACAGTGTCATAATTATCTGCGATTCCGGTCTATATTTTTTTTTAACAAAAAGATGGCTCCCGTAAGAGGCTATGTTATTCTTACATATTTTGGTAATCAAATACTCAAAAACGGGACGGTAAACAATTTTGAATGAGTTCATGTGGGCTTAGATTCGTTTAAAGTATATCATATTACAATTTCATGCAATTCTGCGATTTCCTTTTTTCACTACCAAACCTCCTTAACAGATACAATTACGAGCTGAATAAAAACAAAAACATTTTTGTGTTTTACTAGGATTATGCGATAAAGAGTGGGCCGATTGTCAACTAGAATATCCTTACAAAACATTGTATAATGATATGTTGCTGTACACGAACGTAGGTATTCATTCGTTAAATTACATATACATGTATATGTATATGTTAACATATGTTTAAAGAGTACTTAAAAATTAGTGTTGTACTTAAAATCATTATTAATTTTAGGATTGGAGTGCATGTCCTGAAATTTTCATCGTATTAACGAACGATACAATGTTATAGTTAACTGTTAAAAACTAATAATTATTTGTTTAAGATAAATAAATTATCGTACAACTTATGGATATTGTAGTCATTGATTTGTTAACTTCAACTATTTATTAATCATTTGCTTTCCATTAAAATAAATTTTTCACTTTTTCACTTCAATATGTATTTCAGTTAAGTGTAATGTAAACTCTGTCATGTAAAAAAATTACGACTAAATAAATAAACTTTATCTATGCTGAAAAGAGTAATTTTATCAACACTGCTTGTGTAAGCAAATACTATTATTAAAACTTGATTTATAAGACTTTGTTCGTGGAAGGGCTGTTACCGTCGCGAGCTAAAGCCCAGACCACGTCGAAGACAGATACAGGAAAAAGGATTAACGCGAGACTTGTAATTGGAAATTAACAGCAACATTTATTTTCAATCAATTGGTATACTATGTACAGGTGCGAACTGAGTGAAGCGTTCAACTCAGCCGCGGCGCTTGCTTGGACTGACTAGTGCTACGCAGAGCACGGTGTATTCATATGCTTATATGTGAATGTTCGCGAATATTTCGTTTTGCAGATAACAACTATTAAATATATTGTAACGTAGAAAAGTATAAATGTAGCACAGTCTCTAGAGTATTGTTTTAATCCAAGTAGTAACGTATGAAACATAAGATATTCAATTCTAAGAAGCTCCCGAAGAAGTAACAGACATTTAAATATTTACAGCAATTTCGCATAGCAATAAAATGTACAGTACATTTAAGCACAAGTTTATTTTAAAACTGAACAGACTTCCTCTCCGCATTCATTCGGGCTTGAGACCGACACATCAACAATATTGATAATTATTTGTAAAATAACGCGAATTATTGACGCCGACTTGTTATACCGTAACTAGTTACTAGGTAACAGTATCTCCTAAAAAGATATTTTGTCTAGTCTTTTTGATGAAAATGAGGAGAATTTTATTATTTTGTAAAAAATGAGATCATTGCAAACCCTTAAGGAATAACTCAAAAATTGAAAAAATATAACAAAATCAATATGTAAATTTAAATAATATTTCCCATACACTTGCTCTTTTGTCATAATAAAAATAAATACTGCTTCAAATTAGGATATAGACCATGCCTATAATCAATATGTAATTGTAAGTTCCAATATTGTCGATATGGCCGCGTTAAAAGTTTAACGACAGTCCAACGACGTCCTTAATAAGACGTGCAATTTGCTTGTGTGATTATACTTTGGTTTAGAAATTATCTAATACTGAATGGAAATTATTTAATGTTGATGGTTTTCTGAAAATCAATATTTGTATAATAAAGAGATATGATTAAAATATATCACGCCCGATACGTGTTTAACTACATTAATCACTTCACTAAAAAGTGTTATCAAAAACGTTTAACGACAGTCCAAGGACGTCCTTAATAAAACGTGCAAGGCAGAGTATAATACAACGTTATTTTGTATTTTGACGATCTTTTTGTGTTGATTTCGTAATTTTTTCTATTGCATCTGACTATCGACTTGTGTCATTTTATTTAATTGTCCTTTCATTTTAACGTTAGATAATACTCATTTTGACGTTTGAAGTAGTACAAATTGCATAAAATACACACATTAGGTTGCCCTTCATACGCATAATTTCTTAAACATTGGACATGTGTAAATCTATTGCATACGCTACATGAAATAACATCTCGTTCTCGCCGTCTAAAGCAAAACTGGCATGAGTGGCGCATATCAATTGATTCTTTTATTAACAAACTTGCCATTGCAATTCTATAACTAATTGAATTAAACAAGGTGTGAATTTTTTCACTTTTTCCAATTATATCCATTATATAAATTATAAATAGGCCACAACTATGACCATCTGTTTGATATGGACGTGAAGTTGTAAACCAAGTTAGTGTCCAAACAGTTTTCGTGAAAACATTACTAACACCTAATTGGTTGCAAATGTTAATGTACGCCACAAATGTTTGAAACAACTCAGTGGCTTGCGATTATAAATATTAAAAAGATCGTTTTATAGGATCTATAAATGTTACCGTTTTTTTATCGATGTCAATCATAAAAGTTTCATAATGATTTCCACGAACAATGGGCATAAAGACTTTCCCATTGCTTGGAAAAGGTGCTGTTAACATAACCCAGTCACGGTTGTACGTTACTTAGATTTAATGTAGTATTAAAAATAAAATGTGTTTGCTGCATTGAAACAAATGTTGCATTTGTCCAGTTTCTTTCATTTATTATGCAACATGCATCGGTGATATTACTATCCAGATGATTTGTATTACTTAACGTTTGCATTTCAACAGAAAATATCAGCACTTCTTCTGTAAACGCATTACTTCTTACGTACTTTCCTACTGTATATGCAACATGTTCTTCTTTTTGCTTATCATCGATATGTGATACGTATTTTATTGTCGAAAAGTAATACGCATTGTTATCGATCAAACCATTGTCCAATTTTCTATGTATTCGATATTGATCTACAAGCGGTGTTTCGAAACTTTGGTTACTTTGTGTTTTTACTTTTTTACGAGGACTGAGGTTACTCAGAATATCTAAATCCATAGGTTCGTCTGAAAAGTCATCCATATCCTCGACAGTTTTTTCATTTATTTCTGTACTTTTTTCATTGGTTAGTCCCATATTTAAATAATAGTTTTTCATTTCTTCACTTAAACGTTTACTCAACAGACTTTCATCGAGACACTTTTCAAACAGTTCTTCTGTAATTGTCGTTTCTTTGTACACATCATAATTATCGATTTTTCTCTTCGAGTTGATTTTTTTATTGCGATTTCTAAGTATACGAACAAGCATTGCATAGGTTGGTTCAAATTTCATGAGTCCACCAGTATCATCGATGTACTCTAAGTTAATAGCATTGCTCTGACATTTTCAAAGTGCAGGTGTGATCTCTTACGGATTTTGTTGTCAGTCAAAATACTCCATACACGTTCCGATGCAGCATTTGAAATAGGTAAACTTACAACTCGTAACGCAAATTGTGAAATATTTTAAAAAGGTGTATTGTTAGACACATCGACCATTCTTCCATGCTCAAACCAGAATTTTTCGATACTTTCTTTTTCTCGCAATTCAGTGGTCAAATTATGTGACGGCAAACTGTTCCATTCTGTGTTTAATAGACCTATGTATTCTCTGTCATTCATTTTAGTCTGTCGAGGAAGGTGTTCTAACAGTTTAGAAAAATGTTTGTTCTTGTGAAATTCATACTTTAATGCGTTTGTAGGTATCAATCAATCTAAATACACAGAGTAATCATTTTTGAAATTGTGTCTGTCACTAAATCTCTGATACAGTTTGATCATAAAATTTTGGCAGTTTCTTACAAACTCTTTTTTTGCAGTCACATCGGTACTCATTTTGAAAGCTTCAACAACTGATTTATCCACTGATATAGCATTATTAATTTTATAATGGGAGCTATCATTTGGATTAATTCTAGCTACATCTGTCATGTCCACGTAATCGTTATCCATATACATTTTTAAAATATCTTTGTACACGATTTGAGGAATATTAGAAAACATGGGTTTCTGACATTGCATTTTTTTCATTGCAGCACTTAATTTTGAAAATACAGTTATAATGAACAAATGATATGCTTTGTTTATGTCAAGTTCAAAATAATTATTTATCTCAATTAATTGATTTTCGATATTTTTGTCAGCAACCTTCAATTCTTCTTTGAAAAACAGCGCAAGACATGACCATAACTCATGTAAACGGAACATACATTCATTATACGTAAGCCATCTTGTTATGCATGGCTTCTTTATCATAACATCTTTCAAACGTAGTTTAATTTTACAAACAGCAAACCTGTTGACTCGAGCTGAATGAGAAACGTAATTATAAACAAAATTAGGTATGTCTTCGAAAATTTGAGGCAGCTGCTTAATAGCATTTTGCGCACATAAATGTTGGATATGACGACATCCGCACTTTATTATTTTTATACCTGGAACCAATTGTGATAATTTTTGTGCAGCAGACTTATGGATTCCTACCATAACACTAGCTGTATCGGAACAAAATGCATCAATATTTGAGATAGGAATATTTCCCGATTGTAATGATGATAACAATTTTTGTGTTAACGCTTCAGAATCTGCTTTTTGATTTTCATCTCCGTCATAAACTTGAATTACATCCCACAAACTGTCTCGTACTTTTCCCACACTTGTATCAAAATAACGAACAACTACACACAGAGCCTTATCTTGAGTAATGTCGGTACTTTCATCTATCATAACACTGAAAGGGGTAGTTTGTAGTATAGCTGAGAATTTTTCTTGTTGACCAAGAGCAATCACATTTCGTATGATACAAACAATCTGTTTTATATCGAAACCATCAATTTTTTTCAATTTCTCTGAATCATCAAAAGTTTAAAAAAAAATGGTAAAAGTGAATCATTTAACCGAAAAGCCAATCTGTTAACTGCATAAAAAGCGCTAATTTTGATTTCGGAAATTGCTTTTTCAAGATCAAAAGTTTTGTCAGAAGGTTCTGAACTGTTTCTGATGTGCTTTAGACTTACAGCATGACTTTTCACACATTTAATATTTACCTTAAGAGAACATTGACAATAATTGCACAATATTTCAGGCAAACCGTTGACAACTAGTCTAATCCAAGGGTACGAACCTACCCATTTTTGAATGAATTTATTAAGATACCCAAGATTATCTTCTGTACTTTCACATAAAGTATTTGACAGGCTTTGAACATTTTCTGAAGATATAGGAGCATCACTGTCTTTTAAATTATGTACTACTGGCTCACTAATCGCCACCAAGACATTGTTACGTTGTATAAATTGTAGCATTTTTGTCTTATGCGTATCACTGTACAAGCCATGGCGTTTTAAAGTGCTCAAATCTGGTGTTAACGGAATTTCACAAGCTTCACAAAATGCTTTGGAACTGTTTCGGTCTTGAGATACCCAGTCCTTTCAAACAG